TAGTTGATGTGCCGCGGGTTGGAACAAAGCGATTTGAGTCGTCGTTCCTCGTGCCCACAGCAAAGGATTGGAATAAGTTGCCGGTGTCAGTGTTTCTGTCGAGCTATAAATTGAGTGCCCTCAAGACTAGGGTAAATAGGTATTTACTAAGCTAGTGCGTACTATCCATCGACGACATAGCCACTTACTATCAAGTGGGATAGTGGTCTAGCACTGATTTATACATTATAAAAAAATGGCCTGAAAATCTTATAGTATTATGCGAATATATAAGGAGATGTAAGGATGGATTGATGGATGTTTGTTAGTAAGTATTTCCAGAATGGCTGAACATAAGTCTGAAAGAACACAGGGTACTAATGAAGTTTTAATGGGAACAAAAAAAATGTTTTTATTAACGTTATTTATTCCGTTTTATGACACAGTTTCTTTTTTATATGAATTAGTGCTAAAGGACGCGATATTTTGTAAGTCGCGTAAACTTTGCTAACGACTGATGCGCGCACTCTCTCTGAAAGTTGCTTCACGACTGATTGAAGAGTTGCGATAGAAAGCGGGAAAGGGAGGTAGGGTGAGGGTTGTTTCAAAATGTATTTGTTACCATCAAATTGTAAACACCGTCAGTTTTTAATCTAACTTGCCAAATTTTGATATATGGAAAACTGTTAACTGAAAAAAAAATTGAATAAAAAAAAATTCTTGATAGTCGCAAATAATTGGTCTTAAATTGTTTACAGTTAATTATTTAAGAAAGTAAAATTTTTAAAGTTAGGGTTTAATGCTGTTAATATTTCTAGATTGTATAGAAAAAAGCGTAATCAATGAAAAATAGCATTTCTTTAGAACAGCAACGCAAATGTTACTAATATAATAAATATGAATGTTTGGATGGATGGATAGATGTTTGTTTGAGGGTATATCCGGAACGGACCAACGGATCTTGAAGAAATTTGGAACAGATATAGAATTTAATCTGGAATAACACATAGGCTACTAATTAGATATTTTTTAATAGCGCGTGGACGGAATTGCGGGCGACAGTTAGTTATTCATAATAGTAATAATTTTAGGCAAACACATTTTAAATTAATCTATTATTATTAACTACAAAGTATTATACACATTAATATATTCTAAATTAAGGTTCAAAAATGGACGATTTACAGCAACAATAACACCAAGGAACAAAGACATGTGGAGGGTACATTAACACGAGACAACTCTTAACATCGTGATTTAGTACAAAAATGTCATTCCCCAGCGCCATCTATCACAAAGTAGCGTACATAAAAAAAGTTTTAATGTTGTTAGGCCAAGATCGATATTGTAATCATAAAATAATAAATTATTTACTTATGAGTTATTGCGTTTCATTGATTAGTATTTATATATAATACTCTTGAATCAATTAAAGGAATTGTAATTTTTGACTTCAACTATTCTTGGACCTAATCCACCTTTGTAATCCACATTTAACCTCCTTGCTTACTTGTTAGTGTGATCAGTATATCTACAAAATATGTTCATACTACGCTGACCTTTACCTTCTCATATTCTCAATGATTTAAATGTTTAAATCAGTATATAAAAGAAAGTCGTGTTAGTTACATTATTTATAACTCAAGAACGGCTTTACCGATATGGCTGAAAATTGGTGAGGAGGTAGCTTAGAGTCAGGAGACGGACAAAGGATACTATTTATTCTTTTTTTAATGTTTTTTTTTTCGAATTTTTGCCTTGAATCTGTTTTTTATTTAACTTACTAATATTATAAATGCGAATGTTTAGATGGATGTGATGTGGATGGGATACACTAATTAAGTTTTTTATATATCCACGCGGACGGAGTCGCGGGCGACAGCTAGTAATGGATAAATCACCAATACGCAACTGACAGTTCTTTTAGAGACTTCTCCGAAGTTGAATGTGTATATCGTTATTCCTGTTTTAATAGCTATCTCTTATCAAACATTCTTGTTTAAAATTATTTATTAATTGTAGTTATATGTAACTGATGTACGCGGGCGTAATTTGGACTACTTTTTTTTAATTCTGCACCGACTAAGTCGTGGACAACCACTAAAAAATAAAATAATTATAGGAATATATGTACCTAGTAATACTATTATAGGATTTGTACAGATGCGGCTTATGTTAGGCGCATTTGCCGTCGGCTATTAAATTTGAAATTTTCGGACTAGGAAACAAATAAAGAACAGATCATATAAAAGTGTTTCAGACACAACCTATTATTTATATAAAACATTATTTTAACAAACTATTGAACTGAAAATTATTTACGCATTTTTTTTGTAGGTTTGAAAAAAAAAGTTAAATTTATTAAGTTTTACGAATGATTTACACACTAAAATACTGAAATGGTATCTAAAAATCTTTTGAAAAAGAAAACTCATATCCAGTAAATTTACTTCGTCTTTTACGTGAGCGTCTTGAGACGTTATTCTAGACATATTATGTAATTCATGTTTGTAAAGATAGGTTCCACATTGTTATTCCTTTCATGTCAAGGCGTTTAAAATAACTCTGCTATAACACGCGAATTTGTATCGTTATTGACAAAATATGTCAATATTTTTATGTGATTTTTTTGGGTGTATTCCAAACATAGTGGCGCTGCAGAAATATTACAATGTTTTTGTTTAGGTTAAGAAAGCGTTCTCACTAATATTCGCGCTAGGCCCTCTAAATGTACATTTCGCGAGAACCGCCTACGCGACGGCGGCCGAAGAATGTTTGTCGATTATTCGATTGCACGTTTTGGTCTGTAAATTTTAGCCTCATCTCAAGAATGTCTTCGCATAGAACTGGATCTTCATTACCAGTGTATGCTTTCGATATTACATGAACTTTATTAAAATATTGCTCGAATAAATACGTATCTATTGTGCCTTGACCTATGGCGGTTTCCAGGTTTCCTAGAATACAGAATTAGTTTACCGCAGTGCAAATTAATATGTTTGTAAAAACGCAATTACGCTGTTGCAATGTAGGCGTACTTTCCTATTATTCTGATTGGTGGACGTTACAGAAAGTAAAGTTAGGGGCGTGTCCTAACATTAGGAAATAGTTAACATTACAATTTAATAAACACCCCGGTGCCCCCCTTTGAACACACTTCCGTAACTCTACACTGTAGTCTCACCCTACGTAATCTGTTGAAAATAAATTTGAATTAGGATGTTGAAAAGTTTATAGCAAGCTTTTTTCCTCATCTAGGTTATGAAAAGTAGGACTTTAATATATTCAATTCATTTACAATTTTTTTTAAAGTAAATGCACAATAAAAGATATGTAAAAATCTTTCAAAAATTAGGTACAGCAAAGTATGATTTTGATTTTGGGTTACTTTTCCTGTTATGTTTTCTATAACATTTACGACCTACTTATTTAAATTGAGTTCAAAGTTTGAAATCAGTTACAGTTGCTGTGAGTCTCGCCACTTCAAGATGTTAGCTGTCACCTTAAATTTATCTTATAGTTAAAGATTTTTATTTTAGACTATTGGAAAGGTTATTGCATGTAATTGCAAACATAATTTGTTCAAAATGTTCATAGGAAATATTTTTTTTTTATATAAAAATACCTATTTGCCCAACATTACGTTTCTTGCTGTCCTTGTTTGTCATTTCTTTTAGTTTCATGCATGCATGATATAACCTCATTTTGATTAATTTCCCTTCGTTTTTTAATAACTTTTTTATGCAATTTGATATAGTTTCCAACACCCAACGCCATCTCTTATCGTGAATATTAAGTTAAGGCTTAAGAGTCGTATTCTAAAATTAACACCAGAGGCGCGGTGAGCGGCGATCAATACAACAAGGTCAAATATATCGCATGCGCACTACGATTTAGAAATTATGTTGGTAGCATCTACAGCCTTGGTAATCTTTATGATTGGTTAAGAGAGTTATTGATCGGCTTCTACAATGTTCTTGCCAATGAACTGTATTTAGGGCGCACTTGCGTACTCGCTTGCCAATCAGGTAACACTTTATCTTATCGGCGCCAAATTCGAAATTTTATCTTTTGAGCGGGAATCATCGGAATCAAAAAACGATATGAAGGTTAAAAAGGTGCTTCAAGCTGAATATATTAGGCAAAGTTTAATATGCTATTGATAGATTTCAACATATTAGAATGTTACAATTATCTGATGAGTTGTATTTTCTTCTTCTTCCAATGCCTCTCCATTACTAAAGATTGTAAGTTGTAATTTAAAGAATTAAAATTCTCTTCTTTTATGGCATATTGCATGAAGAATTTAACAAAGGTATCATAGCATTTGTTGTCTATTATACTACATTCTTGGAGATATTTAGATATTGTAACTTTCACTTATTTTTCTCAATTCAGGATTTCAAAGTTGTTAAATGTTTTTCAACAAATTGAATTGTAATTGTATCTAATCCTTCCTCCCCTATTTATTATAAGGAAGAATAAAACATTAAACCTCTACTAAAATTTACAATATGCACTAATAATCAAAATTTTCTGTTACTTCATCATACAAATGTGTGGCTTTTTATTGTAAAAAAGGAGTTACACCAAAACATGCTGTGATTGCTGACATACTGCCTTATAAAGAAGTGTTGTCTATACTTTTTATTATATAAGTAGAGATATCTGGAGGGATATAATGATCTATATGTAAGTAGTTATAAACAAGTATTGTTGTATCTGAAAAAAATAATCAAATAATTAACAAAAAACTAAGTAACATAACACATAAACAAGGTTAAATATAAAGTAATTAAATAAATACACAAGAAATAAAGAATTATAAGTCTATTGTGAACTAAACATGAAGAAAAATAATCACATTAAAAATAGCAAAAATGAGGGAGCAGAACACAATAAAGTTACAAAAAAATACAAAAACAATTGAACTACTATTTTGTTGCATATAATGGTAAGTGTACATTTTGTAATAAATCCGGGAATCAATAAAAGAACGAGCAAAAATAATTGACTGCTTAATAAAATATAGTTTTATTTCACTGATTTGTATAATTTTATAATTATTCATAAGCAAACATACAGCGATATGATTATATTTAACATTACATTCAAGTTCATCCAACGATCGAACCCAATAATCGAACGGAAGATTTACAGATGATTCCAAGAAGATGGTTATAAGAAGGTAATTAGTATTTTAAATAGATAGTAATACTGTAATACAGACTGATGTCTAATTTTAGATCCCTTTCCCATCCCACCCTTTTCTTATAAGGAAAAGATGGGATGTAAATTTTACAGAGAATGGGACGCATAGTGAGGGGAAACATTTTCTTTCTGTTCGTTCTATTCGTTCGTCGGTTACAGGTGGGCAACGCATCTGAAATTACAGATGTACATGGACAGCGGTCTCTTCCCTATTTCAGGGAATCCAGGTGACCGTTCGTTTGCCATCTAATAATTTAAAAAATGTCCTTAAGTCTATTTCATTTAACGCAAATATTAGTAAAAATTACCTTAAAAGTATTAATGTTTACAGATCAATTATTGGGTTTGGCCGTAAGAATATTTTTAATAACTAATAAATAATATTATGCAATATTTTAACACTTTTCATTTAATATTATTCTTAAGTATTGTGCACTTTGGTTAATATTTGGTGTTCTTCGATTACGCTTCGTTCTTGTAGATCTGAAAATAAACAAATATGACAAATTATTAAACATATATGACATTACAGAAATATGACAAACTAGAACTAGACCTAGAGAATACAATGGTGGGGATCTGAATTAAATTGTTTACGAATTTTACAGTTCTACATAATTCATATAGATAAATAAGCGTTTCTATTAACGAATTATCAATTCAATTTGTGATTATTTAACATTAGTAACGCGTTAAATATATCATTAATCATTCTTTAAACTTAATTGAAATTCAAACGCCTTAATGCCCTCTGGTGTCAAAATGACGCAACTTATCAAGCCAGATATTGTAAAGTAAGCATTAATTTCAATAAAAAATATGACATTCCTTGTAAACGCTAATAATAATGAAAAGTTCAATGTAACAAACGATTAATATTGAAAAATAATATATACGCAGATTTAAACATAAGTAATTTTTTTGTGTATTGGAAGGAAATTAAGTGGCGACATCTATGTGTCGTAAGAAAAAATACGCAAACCGCTGATTTCTTTTACCAAAATCTCTATATAAAACATATCGTCATCTCTCTCATTATCTTTAACAAAAAACAGAGATAACAATATGTTTTAAACGGGTATTTTTGTCTCAGAAACCCAAGACAAGTTGATCTGTCTTTGGTTTCTGATTAAATTCAACATTGAATATTTAGTTCTCCATTATTTGTGATTATCTAAAACAACTTAATGATAAAGCTATATAATGTTTGAAAAAAATATATATATTTAAAATCGGTAATACATTTTAGATAAAAGCGACCTCTATGATAAAAGCGTAGAACAATAAATTTTTATAATCCTGAGTATAAATTGTTCAATAATAGATTGATTTTTTAGTCTAATGACTCTAATTTTCCTGAAAACATGGTGTGTCATTGATAGAGTTTATATCATGTGGCGTCACTGGCGCAATATGATTGTTAGTTTCCACTGTGGAAGAACTTGGATTTAAATGTATTGTCGTCTCTCTTATTCTCTTTAGAAGAGAAAGAGATAACAAGTGTTTAGGTAGTCCAATTTCATAGTATACGTCCCTGTAAGTTTATACAAAATCCATTTACTATTTTCTCCAAGAAAGACACAAAGTACAAAGTATGATTCAAACTGATCGGGAATCGAATTCATGTTATGTCGCTGTGGATTTGTGAACAACGTCATTTTGTAATCGCACTAACTTTTAAGTGGTGAACTAAATATCGATTGGCTGTTATATAAGGGAAGTAAAGACGACCCTAAGGGAGCTACATAATAGAAGTGAAGGAATCGTCCCTACGCACGCATTTGACGCTGCTCGTAGTCAGTCTAATCCGAATGCTCGAGAAAGTAGGTCACTGGGGTTGCCTAAAACAGGTCCTCTAAAATAAAATGAGAGTGCATTTAAAATATCGCGCCTTTGTGGTGTTCATAAATTTAATGAAAAGTTCGATTTTTTCAAATGAAATGTGGTGTTGTGCAAAATTATTGAATAGAAAAGTTTTTGTGAGAAGTTTTGGATATGTAATACTGCATGTGAACGTAAGATAAATAAATGTGTTTATAGTATGAATAAATGTGATGAAAAGTTTATAAGAAAATAAAGAAAATTACATTTTCCAAATATGCAACTGGATTACACAGTACTCCAGAATAGCCATGGGTAAGTTTTAACGATTTTTTTTTAATTTCCATCACTTTTACTAAATTATTTATGCGTATAGAAATTAATACGAAAATAAACAATATTTGTACATGAAATAATTATGTAATAAGTATATTATATATTATTATTTGCATTTTTCGAAATGTGTAAACTCGAAAAAAGTTTTTTTTTACATTAATTTTGAATGTATACGGTTTGGGTTTAGACAAACTTTGGATTAACTAAAATTAAAAAAATAATAATACAAGTACAGAAAACGAAGCCGCACCCCGGTTTTGCGGCAAAAGCTTCGATCGCGCCTAAATATTACAGCAAGGGATGTATTCAGGGGGCGAATGGGGAGAAGCCACACGATGACGAAACGCACTAATGCTCCTTGAAAATCGATAAGATTGACAAAGAATGATTGAAAATATAAAACTAATTAAACTGTTAAAGCTGAGATACTGATTTACAACAAGTTGAACTCTAATGCATTAAAAGTAAAGTAAAGCTACATGAGGTATGAGAAGGGGAATTTAAAGCTTCATGGAGGTCGTTGACCTCAATCGTACCCTAACGTAAAGTATAAAGTACTGCTCTACATTTTTTTTAAACTCTCTGGTTTCATCATATCTCAACCACTTGGTATACTCGACTTGATGATTACGGGCTCTTTTACAACTATCTTTCTTTAGTGTTTCATCAAATCCTGCCAACCCCTTTTGCTTACTTTGAATTTCTGACGCGAGCAACTACGTTTCGCATTTCGCCAACAGATGTCGCTTTCCCTAAATATAAATAAACGTTAAGATTTTTATTTAAAGTCGACATTCATTCAAATAAATAATATATATTTAAGATTGTAATGTATGAAAAATGATGATTAAAAGATTTAGTACCTATTTTTGTAATTAGTAATTAATATTTTATAATAAATTACGATGCTTGTCTGACCTTTGATAAAATTAAAGTTTAGTTAAATAATATTTTTATTACTCATGTGTTTCCACTGCCGAAACATCTGGATAAAACATATTGTAATCTCTGATCAACAACAATCTAAGATCGTTTCTTTGAACGACTAAATGAAGTAAACATTTCATTTCATTTTAAATTTTTTCAAATTTAATTTTCATTTCATTTTCAAATTCCGGCGGCCATTAAAATATTTGTCTTTTTTAATTATTGTGTGAAATAGTGCATTTAAGTACGGAGATATTAAACTAGCGGTGGCAACTCCATCTGCGTGGAATTAAAAAAAAACATAATTAGTAGCCTATGTGTTCTTCTAAACCTTTTTTCCGATTGAGATCCGTTTAGCCGTTCTGGTGAAACCTTCAAGCAAACGTCCATCGAACCATCCATCCATCTAAACATTCGCATTTATAACATTAGTAAGATAATACAATATGCAGTAAGTTATTAAAAAAAATATTTGCCAGAAATATTTTACACACAAATATATATTGTTATTTGTCTATGGTGATTGGAATGCGCTAACAATTTGTATATCTGTAAATTTTTTAATGAATTATTGCTTTACACAAACCTTTTTTCGTGACTGCGAGCTATTATTATCGATGTAACTCTTGAGGGCTAGATATATGAATCTGTATTGAGATTTGTTTTGCACCATCCCTCTCCGCTGCGTTCGGATCAGTTTCACCGTGTTGTGCACGTTGATATCACAATTAAAACCTGCGGATATATAGAAAATTTTCTCATTATATACATGACTACCAACTGTATGAATTTTCTTCAAAGGATATTATCGCATTTATATAAAAAAAGGAAAGGGAATAATATTTTTATTGAGCTTGTGCAACAAAGGGCAGTAGCTATTGGTGTTCCCAAATTGTAAACATTAAATAAATTGTTATTCAAAATTAAAGCGCTTAGCAAATCTACGCATAGCTGCACTATACCATAATGCAAATCCATAGAGTTAGTATACATATTTTATAAAAAGTAATTACTCTGTATTGTGTTGTTGTGCAGTAACACCCACACGAATACAATGTGCTATCCCAGTTTTTGTAAAAGAGAACGACAGAGACGATGATTTGTAAAGGTATTGTAATAATACAAATTTACAATTATACAGATGACGTCAGACGCAAGCTGCTACACAAGCAATGCTATGAATGTACTTAATCACTTAAACGATAAGTAAATGTCGCAATGCTCCGAATAATATATACATGTAGCACAGCTGCTTTCAAATAAACATGCAAAATTCGCTATTCGTTATTGGTAATCTAACAAATGTGCAATATAATTATACAAAAACATTTTGTCATGCCTCTTGTTTACATTGATAGAAATAGAGACACACAATATGTTTTTGTACATTTATTTCCGCAATGGAAACAGATGGTGGTGCGACATAGAGATGTGTTCTCACCGGATAATTTAATCTTGTCGATGAGCATGTCGAGAACAATAAATGTACCAGTCCTGCCGACCCCAGCTGAACAATGCACGCACAGCACATTCTGAAGAATTTACAAACATATATATATTATTTACATATAGCTATAAAAATGTTTATCTTTGCCTCAATTAGCAGCAAATGCAAATTTAAATCATAGTTAAATACTACCACCTTCAATGGGTTGGATTTGCTACAGTTTTTTTACTGTTAGCTAGCTGTCGCCCGGCTGTCTGCGCGGAATTAGAAAAAAAAACAATTGCCATTACGTTCTTTCAGAGTATGTTCTATATGTATGCCAAAATTTAGCAAGATCCTTTGAGCCGTTCCGGAGATACCTTAAAACAAACATCTATTCATCCATCCATTTATCCAAACATTCGAATTTATAAGTAATATTAAATTTATGTAGATATTGTTATACTTATTGCTTCTTAATTAATTTACGGAATAAAATTATTGGTTTAATATTTAGGAAGATATTTAGAGATACTTTTGTGTTTTCACATAATGATCTAACTGCCTCTTACCCTTTCTTATCCTTTCTATACCTCTATTATAAATTTGTATTGCTAAAAGACAAGGAATATATTAAGTTAAGGAATAATTAACAGTGGTAGAGCCCGCTTTAACATCTTCGCACGAATTTTACCGGCTCGCCCGGTGAAATACCACGACCACACAGAAGACAGGCGTGAAGTGGAAGCAATTCCGCGTTTCATCTGATGAGTGTGCGTCCCAGAGGCCTAATTTAGTCCTCTGTCCCTTGAAGAAGTTTCTCTTTTTCTAGAAATGGAAGTGGACTTTCCGGATGAGAGGATGCATGGGAAAGTAAGTTATTTTCTTTCTGTGCATCGTCTCCTCCGTCGATTAAAGGAAGGCAACGCAAATGCAATTGCGTGTGTCTATGAGCAACGGTCACTTCGCTATTTCAGCGATTTCAGGTGGCCGCTTGCTCGTTTGCCACCTTATGATAAAAAAAGGTAAACAATAACCTGTTCAGGAGCTCTTTGCTCTTCGATATTCTGACGCATTCTTCTGTTTATATCGTCTATAAATGCAAGTACTCCGTCTGGTTCCGCAGGTATACTATGGTCAGGCCATGCCTTTAAATAAAATAGGTATTAGAAATCACGTAACTTCTATAATCAGCCCTGGCCTAATTTTGCGGTGGTAGATAATTGTGGCCATCTTTGGGGGAGGCCTATGCCCAGCAAAAGGCGTTTCATGGCTGAGTAAGCGAAAAATATAAATAGCCTAGGGCTCTCATAATTACTAAAATTGGTTCACTAGTTTCCAACTTATTCTAACACGTGAGTATTATTTTATGCGTTAGCAACTATCCAGTTTACCTTACCATCGTATAATAACATAGAAATATTCGCAAGAAACAAGGACTCCTTTAAAAGAAGAAATCAAAAGGAACTTACAGTAAACTGGTATTGATAGACAGTTCTGCACGTGGTCTTGTCGCTGATATCAAATTCGCGCAGAAGATAATCTTCATAATATGTCTCTGATATGGACTTCACCAGCAGATTGTTGTACATCTCTTTCTGACCCGACAGTGGCCAGTATCGTTCACACTTTTTCTAGAAACACGTTTAACAAAGACATCTTATAACAACATACAATGAAGGTATCAAACGAATCTATCCAAAAATACTTGACAATTTTTACAAAGTCAAAATTATGGTAAAGTTTACCCTCTACACTTATTTTATATCAAGATAATTTTATTGAGAAAGGTACACCGACCACAGGCGGGAGTTTGACAGCCTTTTTGAGTATTCTATTTTAAATAAATAAGCGAAAGGTATAAATAACATTGTTTTACCTTTCCCCTTTCAGCTTCGTTTGTAATCATTGCTATTACTCTAACATCTTCTTGCCAGATCATACGCCAAAAATCATTCACCGTGTTCGTGAGACAGCCTTGTGTTGCTATATATGATTTGTCTTTCACTGGAATCATTAAAAGTTATTAATAGATTGTGTTAAATCTTTCACTACGCGACAGCCGAAGTCGTATTTGTCCTGGCTGGATTAATTATGAAGTATGTGGTGTCGTTTAAATTTTATTATTCTCCAGATTGTTAGATTTTCAATCGATTTAAATGATATTAAAATAAATATCTTTTTTTTGTCAATTTAAGTATTCACATTACCTATATTTCGTCGTTTGTTTTCTTTTATTTTGTCCAGTTTCATAAACTTTCTGACCTCCCGAAGTGCATCATCAGATAGTGACTTGGAGACCAGTGGGAGTGACTCCCGAGAGCCTCTATGCAGGATCAGTGCTGGAATATAATGTATACGTGTTTATACATATTGAGAAGTCGTTGGATGAAGAAAGTGGAAGACCGCATGCTGTCCAAGATATTGAATATAGCTTATGTCCTGCAAAGGCTGATGATCGTAATGACCGCACTCGCAACAAATAGGAGTAGGCAGTAGTCTTTCCATTTGTAGCGATCCTGGTACACCTGCCTCTTTAATTCTACATTATCTACGATAACAAGTACTCCATAATGCCTTTGCTAAGACGTCATAAACCTATTAACTTTTAGGAAAGATTTCTTTAAGCTTTTCTTTTATAAGAGAAAGGGCCAAACGAGCTTAGGGAACAACGAGGTCAGCAGCGACACCCATGGACATCTGCAACACCAGAGGAACTGCGGATGCGTATCCGGACGTTAAGGAAATGATATGCTCTCTTCTTGAAGGTCCCTAAGTCGTATTGGTTTGGAAATACCGCCGAGAACAGACCGTTCCACAACAGGGCTGTGCGAGGCAAGAAATTGTTGTGGAATGTCAGCCATCCAAGTGGTGTCGATGGAACCTGGCGGTCTGTCGTGTCGTCCGATTACGGAACTCGGCGGCAGGAAACGTTCAGCTTTAAAATATAGAAAATTTCAACTTACAATGTACGCTGTTAAGACTTTCTGTGGATGACTGTACAGAACTCGAGATGTCACTGAGACGAGAGGATCTGATGTAGTTGGCATTGATATAATCTGAACAATGGGAATCATCACTACCACGTCGTAACACCACCCGTGTCTGGTCATCTGCATGTGAAATGGAATTTAGTTATACATCTAGCTAGTGCCCCTAATAAAAATGAATAAGTACGATTTAGCGGACTGTAATTAACCTCTATTTTATGGTTATGAACAAATACAAAAATACACATAACGTTAATACTAATAAATAAAAATACTCACAAGGTATGATGTTACGGTATCGATTTTTGTGCATATTCTCCATCTTGGCGCCTTCATTTGCCGTATAAACAAACATATCTTCAATTAATTTTAACGAATAAAATTCTACGTCGAAACCACATTTATTGTCCGGTTTTTGAATGTCATCCATTTCCTGGAATGTAAATAAACGAATTTTAAGTTGATTTAAATAGCGTAAAAAAACAGCAAAAAGAAATAAAGAATAAAAATAATAAAGGATTATTTATGTGTATACAAAATATTAATTAAGTAGCCTACGTGTTCTTCCAGACCAATATCATCGAGATCCGTTGAGTCGGTCTGTAGAAGCCTTTTAATATATTTTCTTGAAAGTTACTTTTTTCATTGAATGAGTCGAGGCTCTACCATGACTGTAATTTACGTACCATGACTTTCTCATCAATATCCTTGGCACGGAGGCAGGTGCCGCTGACAGGTTGTAATAGGCGCAGTACGTCTCCAGAGGTCTCTGTCATCGGGTAAGATCGGAAGTGCTCGATCAGGCCCACGAGATCGTCGAACTGTTCACCACTGCCCACGTCGTATTTATCTTGCTGTAACAATAATATGAAATTTAATTTTAGTCAATCCATTTTAAAAGTAAATAAAGGGATATTTTAATCACAACGATCTATTGTTGTTGTAAACGTGTTACATATTGAAGAATTCTCGATAAAAAATTGTTGAATTTCCAAATAAATTTCCATAAAAAATCCCGAAATTTAATTATTAGATGCGATATTTATATGAAATTTTCATTTAACACACATATTATTTGGTACAATAATAATTATGTGATATAAGAATAATGTGTACTAAATTGTATGATGTATAAAGAAAGATAATAAGCAAATAGTTTTTATGTAAAAATATATAACACCTGACCTTATATATCTTTATGACTAAGGTTATATTAAAAAAATAAAGCAACGCATTGAAATAGCGAACAGAAATGTTTTTTATTATGCAATTATTGTTTCATCTAAAGAATGGTATGATTCAAATAATATCTATATGTGAATTCAATATTTACAAAATAATTTATTTGATTTAATTTATATATACGCGTCATTATCTATCTTAAATAGATAAATATCATCATATTTCAATTGAATTACTTCAATCAGAGTGTTTACAGTTGCTTAGTGTTAGGTTTCATATATCTTACTTCGTACTATTATTATTAAAAGAAGTTCAGATATATGTATGTTTGTTAGAAGGTATCTCCAAAACGGTACAACCGATCGTGTTGAAATTTAATATAGATGTAGAACATAGTCTGAAACACATAGCCTACTTATCATGCTCTTTTTTTAATACTGCATGAACGGAGTCTTGTGCCTAATTAATTATAAACGTTGGGCGCTCAGTAGTTTTGGTTATTCTTTATATAAGTCAGTTGGTCATTTTCTCCTTTTATGTGTATTGATAATATGTGTAGCTGAAGACAAGATAACGTCTTCTAATTTTGTAGAACATTCAACCCATCTGTCACTGATTACTATATAATGTAATTTATCGGCAAAGTAGGTTAATCGTTTATGTATTTATCACAAGTGCTTTTGACCGCACAAATAACTAACTCGTTGGCAATAAATGATTACGCTATTTGTATAATTGGTGCTAGCATTTTTATATGTCTATCTTTCATTTGTATAACCTCGTAATCTTACAGAAAATCATGATCCTTAATAATATTAATAAATGTATATCGATAAATGCGAAAGTAATTGTCTGTATGTAAGTCGCGCTTTTAAGCCAAAAATACTGAACCCTTTTAATGACATTTAGTACAAAGATAGTCTAGAGCCCGAAAAGAGAATTTTAAGGGTTGAAAGGTATAATAAAATGTTAGTAGTAGAAAAATTAGCTTAAAAAATAAAAAATGCTACTTAAAGACAGTATTTAATAAGTAGAAATAATTCCAATATGCTGTACCGTATGGCTTCGATATAGTAATATATTTTTTGAATTATTTAGGTAGGTACAATCTGTTCATAGTGCAAGCAAAAAATCATTAAAACCTAAACATTCTCTGGCGTCCTCAGAACACTATACCTGAATTTGTCTGTCTGTCCTGTGTGCCAATTTTTATAATGAATAACTAATTATATAAAAAAATGTAGTTCATATTTTATTAAACAACTTTAATGTAGTCTTGTCTTTTTATAACCTTAAAAGGAGAATTTTGGTGACGTAAAACGACTTACAACAGCATAGAATCAAAACAGGTCAAAACTGGAATCTTTCAAAATATTTGACTAAAATTAACTTTTTATAATTAACAGACAGACCCATATTTGGCGGGGTTGGAGAATGTTAGAAGAGTAAATATTCTTTTTCGTAAATTAATCTTTTTGCAAACAAATTATGATGATTCTGTTAACTAGTTAACTTTGTGCAAATGTCTAAGGGCATCCGTCACTGTCCCTCATGGTCATTCTTAATTATTGTATGCCTAATAATTGAAATACAGTCAGAAATGAACCGCACTTTAAACACACTACAAATCTATCTAAAAATGAGCGAGTGAGTAAATAGAGGTCATGGGGTAAATAGATACAAAATTATAAGTAGTTTTTACATCATAATAATAATTTTTTCGTTATTAAATTAACTATTTATTAAAATAAATACACAGATAAAATCAATAATACATACTATGTAAATGCTTTTCAAATTTTGTTTCTATTCACCCCGTTTTATCAGTTCCATAACGTCCATACTATAAATTCTAAGCAAGTATTATCGCTAATTTGTTTATAATTAAATTAATGCAATCATTTTATCTTTAGATTACATTTATAAAAAATTTATGTATATTTTATCGACATTTTTATTCGAGATTAGTCTAAAAGTTACATATGGAATTTAGAGCCTTGACTATCATAAAGCACTTGGATATAAATTCGTACATTATACGTTTAGGCAGCTATAAAACAGTTTAAAATAAATGAATAACTAAAAACAAAATATATTTTAGGTAAGACTAATAGATAAACACAGAAGAAAAAACTTTTCTACGCATATACTGACAGAAATTGCACATAGGTTATAGGTTAGGTTAGATTTTCTATTTCCTAGTTTAAAAGAAACTAAAATCTAGTTCTAATATTTTATTCGGCACTATTTAATTTCATAGAATTTATTAAACTTAGTTTCGAAACGTATTTAGAATCTATTATACATTTACCGCGGGAAAATAGACATGGATATTATTTGCCACGAAAAAAAAACATCAATTTATAAAAACAAAGAATTTATTTTTTATAGATTTGATTTTACAAAATATCAAATGATAAATTAATTGTATTATAATTTTGTGTTACACTGACGAGCATGTATATTTAAAATTTTGATTATAGTGTATAGTTGATTAATCAATGCCGTAGAAAAGATTTCTGAACTTTAACCTACCTTATAATGTACACATATCTTCAATCACAAAACTATATCCATTAAAATCACTAGTATTTCACACCAAATACTCTAAATAACGTTCAGACTCTATCATGCAAGCACTATTACTAACCTGAAAGAGAAAAAACTAGACGGTCCTCAGTGCGCCGATGCAGATTGCATTTCCTACGTTCGCATCGTAGCTGGTACGTTGTGCTACTGTATCCAATATTGATATGATCTCCTGGTACTTCGTATGCGATAATATGCACTGCTCCCAACTTCGCACTACTTAATAAACAGAGTGATGTCGTCAGGTCACGATGGATGCAATTGTGACACCCGTCCCGCTCTAAAGTGTAAGATCTAAAACGGTTTGCGCATGCTCTTCAATCCTCTTATGTTTATGCGATCCTGGTATTCTCAGGCAGTCTAGGATGTCTAGAATCTAGCTCTAAGATTTCTAGGCAAGACTAGCCGCCAACCTTCGATGTCGACCGACATACATAATACATAACCGTTCGGAATTTCTGATAGCAACCGGTTGCGAGACTAGTTGTATAATCGATGAAGACGACTGACGTAGTTCTTTAAAATATGCGCTAGACTATAAAGAAATAAAAATGTAAAGTTATTAAAAATTTAAGTTAGGTAGTAACTATTACTAGCAATATGAAAAAAATGATTTATAAAACGGTAATAGACGAACTACTACTACTATGAGGCTAGTTTATTTCAGAAATTAAAATTGCATGAAGATCTTTATTTCTATTTTTGTACAATTATGATCGTCGAATCTTGGCATGACTCCATTGCATCCATTTTATATTTGGGGATCCACAAGCCGAATCGGAAACCCTTACAACCTAAATTGCATTGTTGGGACTTTAAATTACGTTTACTGTTACCACAGAACTACTGAAATAAAAAAAATTATTTAAACAGGTTTCCTTAAACATGTAGAAAATTAAGGAACCTGGGCACTTCTAAATATAATTAAAAATCTACAAAATTGTGTTTTTGTATTTGTATTGTAGATAGTCAGAAATGACCAAGCGCCTAACTTTAATGCATTTGTTTTTACTTAAGATAATGTAGACAAATAAATGGTGTCCTATTTTTTCAGTATGAGAAAGGAAGGTTGATTTAACTTTTTTATATATTATATTATAACGTGGCCAACGACCGAGAGGTCACCTCAATTCGCCATAATGGCAAAGCGACCGTTGCCCATAGACTTCCGCAATTTCAGATGCATTGCTTTACCTTCAATCGACGGAGGTGGAAACACACAGAAAGAGAATGTTTCCCCTTCATATGCATCCAAGGATAGGATAGGATACAAGGGCCTAGGATAATAGAATTAATAATTCTAAGTCCCTAGTTGCCTGAGACAGGTATACGTGATCATTAGGGAACATTTTTAATAAAAATCAGTAGGAGCGTATTTGAGGAGCTAGTTGTCCAGCGACGGTCGTTAACCGTTTTAGCATGGTTTTGTGTTTTGGTTTGGACGGTGGACTTATTAGTGATGTGGTGTGGCTTGCAACAGGATGTGTAGTCTATAGTTCGGTTGGTTAGTTATTTTAAGATTAATTTTTTGTCTAGGGAGCAGAACAAACGAGGTTTTAATAGTGGTAGAAACCGCTTTAACATCTTCGCACGAATTGGCCAGGTTCGCCCGGTGAAATACCACCACCACACAGAAAACAGGCGTGAAGTGGAAGAAATTCCGCGTTTCGTCTGATGAGTGTGGTCCCGGAGGCCCAACCTCCCCCCCCCTTTTAATACAGCATGGCAGTGGGATTAAAAGAGAAAGTACCCCAGGGGGGTACCAAAACCCCTGGTTTTGTAGAATCCCCCTCCGCGCGCTTACGCCTGAACTCTCGCTTGGAGTCTGGGGGTAAGCGCGCGGGCCGCCCTGCGTATTCTGGGGGGCGCAACATTCCGCTCGCTCGCTGTAGAGGCCGGGGCAAACGAGGCCAGGCACTTCCACCCCCTGCCACCCACGCAGTGGACCTCTGCAATATCAGGGGACTCCATTCCAACTTGGAGGCCGTTCATTACCATCTCCGGACGGCCAAGCCGGCCTTGCTTTTTCTTACCGAGACACAGATATCCTCTCCGGCGGACACATCGTACTTATCCTGCCCCG